GTCACTGAACTCTCATGTAGCTGACCGCAGTTTGAGTCCCAGACCCGGTGGCTTAAACTCACGCCGAGCGCGTGTGCGTGCCCCAGGTCCCGCGAGGAGAATGGAGGAGAAGGGATTGCAGCATGGCAGCACAACCACCTTCCCTGGGGGTGCTTTTTCACTTTCCCTCTCTCTCTTTCTGTCTCTCTCCAGCATGTGCGTGTGTCCTCTAGCAAATTTATAAAACAAAAACAAAAAACTATGGGGACCAGCAGTTAGCATAATGGCTATGTCACTGAACTCTCATGTAGCTGACCGCAGTTTGAGTCCCAGACCCGGTGGCTTAAACTCACGCAAGGCACATGTGTGTGCATGCCCAAGATCCCAAGAGGAGAATGAAGGAGAAGGGATTGCAGCATGGCCATCCCCCCTGGGGGGTGATTTCTCGCTTTCTGTCTCTCTGTCTTGTCTCTCTGGGGAGTGCTCACGCCCTATAGCAAAAATCTCTCCAAAACGAAACAAAACAAAACAAAACCCAAAAACTATGCATGGATTTCAAAACTTTTTTGCACCAAGGTAAATTTGTACTTTAATTTCATTTTCCCATGAACTTCTTAAAGCCTCCTATTATACAGAAGAAAATTAATATAAGGTTATCAATTTGGTAGTGATCCTAAAATCTTATAGAGTATTACTATTAACAAATTTGAAGCCTAATTAAAGTTTTTAAACATTTGTTAAAAGGTGTGTGTGCTCATAAGAGGTGAGAAAGCAGCCTCCTACCCACCCATGGAGAATGGTCATGCTACAATCCTTTATCCTTCATTTCTCCTTTTGGGATTTTGGACATGCACACACATGGACCAGGTGTGTTTTTCAAGCTGCCAGGTCCGGGACTTGAACCTGTGGTTGGCCGTGTGGGATTCAGTTGCCTTAACCACGGAACAACTAGCTGGCCAATAAATGAACTTTTCTTAACTATCAGTAACAAATTTCAATCAGACATACTACAGGAAAAGCTGAAATTACCTTTCTATTTTCTTCGCAGAAAATTATACAAAATCATTATCACTCAAAGATCCAAAGAGTATAAAACCAACAAAAGGTGAAAAGATAGTACAGAAGATTAAGAAGCAGTGAAAGAACTGCTATTTTTAATATATTTTGAGACTTGTAGTATTCGTTAGTATCTTAATATTTATACTTGCGACTCTTCTTATTCTAAATAAATAACTCATAAATAATTTTGAGTTTATCATTTTACATTTTCTTGAAATAGGCCTCTTAAATTGTCTAAGCTTCAACTAAACCTGGGTTGTCCCCCTCTCTTTTTTTTTGGAGAGGTATTTGCTATGGGGTGCATGTGCTCGCCAGAAAGACAGAGAGAGATAGAGAGATTGAAAGTGAGAAATCACCCCCCCGGGAGTATGGCCACGACACAATCCATTCTCCTCTCGGGATCTTGGGCATGCATGCACACATCCCCAGTGTGAGTTTAAGCCACCGGGTCTGGGACTCGAACCACAGTCGACTACATGGGAGTCCAGTGGCATAGCCATTACGCCACCTACTGGTCCCTGCCCCTCCCTTTTTTACAGAGGAATTAAAAAAGCATAGTTGTCTAAGATGCTTTCGTTCACACATCCATAAAAGTTGATACAGATCCATTTCAATGAATACTCTTTGAACTTGGTGACTGACTGTGGTTACCCCTTCCCCAAAAGCCCAACAGTCAGGGAGGAGGCCCCTGCAACAGTGTGGGTGGTTGGGACTGGAAGGGCAAGGATGCTTATAAAAAAACACCGAAGAATGGGAGAGGTCAGGACAAAGGAGGTGAGCGAACAGGGAAGCCATGCAGGAAAGGGTGCACCCTGGAACAGGGAGGCCTCTAGGAACAGGGGAAAGAGAGGTGGGAGCAGATTGTCACGGGCCACCTGGACATTTACTCTTGGAAGGTCTCTGTCTCTGCTCCTTACCTTTCAGCATACAGAGCCTGGGCACTCAGTCTCAGGAGTACAAGCCATAAAACAGCAGAACACTGGGTACTGGGTGGGGGGGGGAGAGGCACCTAAGGCCATGGCAACTGTGCCAAACGTGCCTTTAGCTAAGGCGGACTCAATAAAGGATCAGCACTCACCACCTCCACACCCCTCACTGGGCTATGTGGCCAACGGTGATGTTTCCTCCAGTCGGCACTCGGATAACCTAAGAACATTAAGACAATCTGTCCCTCTTTAGCAGGTTAAGATGACCTCGTGTGGCTTCTGTCTGTCCCAGTCACAGACCATTCGAGCCACTCTCTCACCCACTGCCCCAACAGGCAGGAAGCATCAGCATAATGCCCAAAAGGGAGCCCCAGAGGCCTGGGCTTCCTGACCAGACTTCTAATGGCAGAATCTGTAGTTTACCCCTCCCCCTCTTTTAAAAAAGCTTCTCTTTTGTCGGCAAGTGACAAAAACACAAACTCTCTTAAAAAAATTAAAATGTCTTAAGACCCTTAGACCTCTGCCTGCCACATGGCAAGTTCTATATGAGCATTTTTTAAATAATATTTTTTAAAATCTATTTCTTCAAGGATCTAAATTTGAAAACCACAGAAAGCCAAAACTTAACTCACCAAGGATTACACAGTAGTATCTGAATCTTAAGTTGGCTTCTCCTCAAAACCTTAAGGAAGAGAAGCATTATGGTAGAACCTAAAAATGCCTGGATACCCAGAGGATGCTTACTCTGGAAGGGATGCGGGAGGGAGGGAGAGGAAGCTGTGTGCTAGAGGGATCTGCTTTCCAGGAAGAATGTTTGTCCAGAAGCTACAAGTTTCATCAGACTTGCAGCAAGGTTCGGGTCCTCCTTTTCTTACAGGGTGGAGCCGAAAGATGAATTTCATATATATATATTTTTTTGCATTCTCTACAAGGCTTACTCTTTTGGTCCTTAAAGCTACAAAGGGCCAGAAAGCCCTGCAACCCAAAATGCGTCCACTCAGTATTGAACTGTACAAGAGATTAATTAGAGGATTCTCTATTCACTCTGTAACAACTCACTTCATATTTAAGACTGATTAACAGTCTGACTTTAACACCTAGGCAAAACTCATGGAACATTTTCATATCCCTAGATCTGAAAAAAAAAAGTTCTTTGGATATAAAATGCCAGCCTGCCCACACCACTCTCTCCTGCTGCCCAAACCACCAGAACAAAATCACGTATCTTCCCCAGCAAAGCATACAGAACGCCATCTGCCTACTCCAGCTAACCCTGCCAGACCTGGGAGAGCCAATCCCGACGCTGCGCCCCCGGAGTGTCCACTGCTGAAGGTACTGAGGGGAACGCAGGGAACAGAACACACAAATTCGGGAACGGAACGAGGAGCTGCATCCATTTTCAAACCCTCGTCGCCGGGTTTCATCCACATCCTTCCGGGGACAGTAGCAAGTCCCCTTGAACAGGGTCTGCATCAGTCCCTGAGGGGAGCCACTTTCTGGCTGTGGGTAAGGATAAGTTTGGATTCAGGATGCCCAAGGAAAGGCGAGCAGCACCCTCCCAAATCCCCACGCGGGGAGGGCTTACGCCCGAGCATGCACAGCCATGACCTGGCCGCGGGGTCCGCTCCAAGGTCCTCAAAAACACACAGCTGCGCTGTCCTGGCCTAGGAGGGGTCTTCATACTTTAACCAACTGTGCCCAACGCAAAGGTCAAGGAACCTACAGATGCCACTCAACTGCCAAGGAGAGGTGCGGCGCGCGCCCGGGACGGTGAGAGGCTCATCTCCTCGCTCCCGGGGTACAGAGGGAAAGGGCGGCTGGTCCGGAAGCAAACAAAAAGGGTTCTTTCACCTATCACGCCTGGCACCCTGGGTCGGCGCACACCAGCGCCCGCCCGTTCCGCCCAGAGAACCCCTGGCCGCGCTCTAGGAACGGGCCCCTCGCGGCCGCCCGGACTTGTCGCACTCGCACAAGTTCCGAGTGGGCGTGACGCGGCCAGCACGCCTGCCCGG